GAGATGGAGACTAAAACGGAGGCTGAGACCGCCGAATGTCGAAAGGCCTTCGCATTATTAAGATTGTTAAAAGCCAAGATATTGATTTATGCAGATAAGCGCTATTATGCCAAAGTGCCAGTGAGCTAACCATCAACCACCGTATTCCGAATCCGGCGTATCCGTGGTATCCGTCAACCCCCAGCAAGTCACCCATCCACACGGAAAAAAAAGGTGTCAGGATGTGAAGATGAACTAGATATTGGAAATGGAACCTTTCGGTTTAAAAACTTCTCTTCAACAAAAAAGATCGTATATAGAGCCAATCTTTAAACGAGAAAGTCATCTTCAAACTGCTTTATTTCCAACACCACAATTTCGAAGTGTTTTACCTTTTCGAACATATCAAAGTGATACGGAGAGTATCAAAACGAGCCTAGTTTTTTCTTTATCTGTGCCACAAGCCACCCATCTGCGACCCCGACTGACTGCCTAATGGTGCCTGTTGGGCATGTTTGTCTTGCACCCTCACCTCGCCGGCTCCCCGATATCTCTTTCTGGTGGCCCTATATCCTGGTCCTATATCCCATCCAGACACTGACGAGCCGCTGGCAGAAACAAACCCGAAGCCAAGGGTATTCGTGTATCGCGACGGCAAACATTCAACAAGCGCAGGTTCGCCGGAATTTGCAAAGCACCAATATGTTATATGGGCTGGCTTCCTCTCACTTCCTCTGTGAGCAGCGACCTACAACATTTAAATTTAAATTATTTCCTCTTTGACAACTGTAAGCCTAATTCGCCATGGCACCTTTGCGAATGGCGAATGGGAAATCGGGAGAGATGCGAGAACAACATTCATGTTTGCCCATATCCAAGGGCAAACAAATCCCCTTTGTTGCGTTTCAACAGCAAACAAATCGCAGATTTGTAGACGTATGAATATTTACCTGTTTATGTAGACTTTACTTACCCATTTTCATAGTTCACCCTATTATTATTTATTGCTTTGCCAACAATGGAGTCTGTTTCTCTTTAACTCTTTTTATCCACAATCAACTAATTTCACTGCTTAGTTTATCCAATCCAATCCAAGGATAATTATTGACTGTGTAAACTTATCACCGATTCAATTTGGCCCACAATGGGGCATAAGTACAAACGTATATAAACCTGTGGCGACCTTGATGTATCGCATTTGACCTCGTACCGTTACAGTACATTTTGAATCCACCACTATTAAGCGGACGTAACCTGCAGTTTCGTTGGCAAAAGCCAACGAGTGGGACACCTGTCATCAAATCCAGCTCACAAACAAGTTGTAAATAGACTTTGATTGGTGCTAATTGCATTCACTTGGCTCTTGCAAATGGAAATGTGGAAACTAGCACTGTTTCAAATTCTATAATCGAAATATGAATAATATGAATAAATGAAAATATGATTTAGAATAGAGCTTGAAAACATATCGACAGTTTGCTATTTCTCGATATTAAATTGGGGTTTCCTTAAAAAACATAGATATTATCGAATCAATATTGTCAAAATATCGAAAATATCGATAATTTATTTTGTATATTTCAATGATTTCGAAGCTTAGAAACGCCTAGCGCGGGAATAAGAACACGAAAGGAATACGAATACGAATGAGAACAAGAACAAGCACCAATCTCTGTCTCGTCCCGAGACAACCCCGAGTTGGGTTGCGTTTGGGTACCGAACCCAAATGCCAAATGAATAAATCCATTTAAATTGCAACATCCATGACTTGCGGGCTTCTGCGGGGCTATTCATCCGGAGTGCGATGCGACTGCCACTGCGACTGCGAAGGTTACGGCTACGGTGTTGGTTGTCGTCTGTGATGGAGATGGAGATGAAGACCAAGCGAAGACGAAGACGGCGAACTTCCAGGCTGCCAGGAAGGGCCAAGGGGCAGGCCCAGTGGAAAACGCAATGAAAACGAATTTCGTATACATTTTCTTGAGTTTTTTCCCCTGGATGTTAGGATGCCAGGATGCCGGGATGCTGGGATGCTGGGATGCCGGTCTGTAGCCACAGCAAAATCCTCCTATCCCATCCCATCTCATCTCATCTTGGGGCGACGCAACAGCAACAGCTAACAAGCGCAAAGTTAAAAGGACAGTCTAAAGCAGTACATGTTTGTGTGTATGAACAGTGCACTGATAGAAACACCACATAATTTGTAACTTCTCAGGAAGTTATTATAAATGTTCTTAAAAATATAAAGACATTTTTGAAGTTGAAAATGTTTTCAACGTGCTTGATTTCAAGAACAAATGCTCTCATATCAAGAACAATGTGCTCACATTTTCCTTTCTGTGTTAATACGTCTTGGTCTCATTGTTAGGTTTCAAAAATTCGCATCTACCTTTTCTCATGGTATTCAATCTATTCAAAGGCACAAATAATAATAATCGTGACACCTTTTTTTCTCTGTGTAGGTACATACATATATAGATATGCACGCGCTTACATATAAATATAGGTACATATAATACGTATTTATCCTTGAAGCCAGAGGACCAGTAGTCGGCTAGTCGGAAAAAATCAGCTATAACCAAAAAGAATGCTAAATCATGGATGAAGTGGATTCCGGGCACAGCTTGCCGTGCAGCTCGCCTTGCCGCCCGCGCCCGCTGTATAATTGCATCGAAGGCAGGCGAGGAGGAGGAGTGGAAGGAGTGGAAGGAGCAGTCCTGCTAGCAGCATGGGGTCACGACCAGGAGGAGGACCACGACCAGGACCAAGACCACAACCAAGTCCAGGTCAGGTACTGCTTTTGCAGGCTAGAAGCGAGCCATAAGCACAGCGTCACATGGTGCGAATGATCGTAGCCATATTGTGCAAATGGCTGGACCGTCGTCGCTTGTCCGTCCGCCCATCGCCCATCCTCCGTCCTCCATCTCGTACCCCCTGGTGGGCGTAATGGGTGTGGCAGTAGGAGCAGCAGTAGACCATGGGTGGCTGCAGTTTGCTTTTGTATGTATCTGTGTGTCGCGGCGCTAAAAGGAAATTGTGATTGCTGCACAAAATGCTTTTAGAATGGTTGCCAATCGATTTTGGCACGGATTGGCAATGGCTACGGATGGAGCAACAGGAGCAGTAGCAGTAGCAGGAGCTGGAACAGAAGGCCTGCCACAGGGTGGCCCATCATCCAGTGCCCAGCTCCCAGTTACCAGTTCCATGGGGTCAGGCGTACGTACGATAAGCGGCTGACGTCGCATTCATGGAATGTGCGATTTAAAATTGATTGTGAAACATTTGCACAGAATTGTGTTTTTGCCGCTCTGCTCTTTGTTTGACTTCGACGGCAGGCAGCCAATGCCAATGCCAATGCGAAAAACAGAAACAAAACAAGAACCCAGCAGCAGTAGCAGGGCATAAAGCCAACAGAACAGCAACGGCAGAGGCAAAAGCAACACCAACGCCAACACCAACACCAAAGGGCAACAAAAATTAAACCCAAATTGTGTGGCTTTCCCGACACACAAAATACAAAATACTATCACCAGAAAAGCTGGGCAGGATGCGGATGGAGCAGGAAGGAGGATGGCTGATGGAGGCTAGAGGATAGAGGATGGAGAGGTGGATGGGGCAGCCCATCGTCAGATGACAGAGTCACAAAGCAACAACATGTTGTCGTTGGCATGAATTGGCCCAACAAATTATGTGTAACATTAGAGCTTGTGCCACTTGGCGGTCGTGTGGCCAGCGGAAAAGTGATGGCTTTTCATTGGAAAACTCCTCTTCCCTTCCCACCAAACGAGCTGCTCATTGATCGTTTGCCCTTGAGTGTCAAGTCTATTGTCTAATTTACTCGCCTGGATTGCAGTTGAAGTAAGGACACGAATGGGTACAAGTGCACGGATTTAATATCTTTCCATTTAATGCTGGGATTGAGCTGAGATAATGTTATCCTACCCCAGAGGTTTTTAAATTATTATTACAAGTTATGAGCTTAACTCTGCTCTCTTCACTGGAAGTGGAAAACAAAAGGACAGCCAAGTAGTTGCTTTTGTACTGGATACTGTGCACACTGGATATTCCAGTAAAATGAAGAAATAAAGGCCTTAAACGGCCAGTCGGACCACTGAATTAAGTCACGTGCTGACATTTAAGTCCGAACGTGCAAAACGAAACGTTTTCATTTTTTACAGGACAGACCAACACCGATTAAGTGCTGTCGCTGTCTCACTTGTGCAGCCAATCTGTGGACACTGTGGATGGGATGGATACCCCAACTGCGACCAGACTTTGTCCACATATGCACATATATGTTATGTATCTATATATCACAGTGTGATGTGTCGCTGGAATTTAATTGTATCATTTGCTTGAGCAAAGGCAAGTGGCAATTGATGGGTTTTCCATTCAATATTGTAAGATGTATGTTGCATTTTAGTTGCAAATTGTTGAAGTTGGCATGTTGCATGCTGCATGTTGACTGCTGAATGTTTGATAATGTTAAAATGGTGTACAATGAATGCAAATTTAATACTAATTAAATTAAGAATGGGCCACGTCATCGATAATCTTAATCTAAAAAGATTCTATCGGTGTGAGCTTATAATTCCCAACTAGTTCTAGTTTAATATTCATGACCTAGGTGCTATAGTAGCCGATAAATCAGTTGACGTGGGTGTTGGTGAAGTTTGTGTGGGTTTGGTGGTTGTGAAGAGCCTTAAGGAGACCCATCTATTGGGATGTCATCTGGATGGAACTGGACTCCAAGATGCAGTGCACAGTGATCCTGTCCAGGTATAACCATTAATTAGGTATATATTTATTGAAATAAATATTTCTAAAGTAAATGTAAGATGTAATGGGCCACGTCATCGATTATGATAATTTAAAAAGATTCTCTCGTCGGGGACTTATAATTCCCAATTTTCAATGATTATAACCCTGAAAATGCTTACAGTAATGAAACAATAGAAAGTGTCCATATATTATCCATATGCTAAACAGTTGTCTAAATATTTCTCTATTTCCAGAACTCGGTAATACCGAACTTATGAAGGGAATTCCCCTTTATAACCCAGAGAAATCATCCAGAAATGGTTCATAAACCGAATGATGCAAAACAAGACGGACTACCAAATATGGCACGAAACATGAGGAGATAACTTAAATTGGTGACGAAAAGAAAAAGGATCCGAGTAAGTACGATTATTCCGACTCAATAACAAGGCAGTCAGAGGAGGAGTCGGTCGAATGTCGACAGCCGTTTCTCGACTCCCGACTGTCGAGCAACAAAGATTGTGTTTTGGCTTAGCTCCGACCAGACCACGGTCCATAAACTTATTGAAAGCTTTTATTTCTCAGTGTCCCTGTGTGTCTGTATATACAGTGTACAGTGTACAGTGTACAGTGTACAGTGTACAGTATACAGTATACTGTGTGCGGTATACAGCGTAGTATATACAAATGGCGTGGCATAACTAGCGGGGCTGCAGATAAAAATAACAATTGAAATAAATGAGCAAGGACGAGCAGGATGGGATTTAATGCGCGCCCTAGGAAAAGCCAAAGCCAAACGAAGTAGGAAGTGCGAATTGCGAATGACGAGTGAGGACCTTGCCTTTATTTTATTTGCATACTTTTAGGAGGCCGGCCTTACGGATTGAAGACAATTTGTGGCCAAATTGTGTTTGACTTTTTCTTGCTTTTTTCTCGACTCGACTCGGCTCGGCTTTTTTCTTTCATGAACCTTCATGACTTTTCCGAGGAGAAGGAGTGCAGTAGTTGGGGTCTGATTACAGCCCTCTACAGTCCAGCTGCTCTTTCATCTGCGAATCACACATATTGAATTTGTTAGACTTCCGCCATTGAAAGGGCTGTCGCAGATTGGATTCGCCTACAGAACGGCATAGTTGAGTTTATTCCAGCTCTTCACCGCTTCCCTCAAAACAGTTCTCATATTTTTCTTAATTAATCTTCTTTTCTTTTTCCAGCCGATGATGGCTGGAGTGGTTGGTCTCGTTGGCTTTTTTCGCGGAGGTTTCGTGAAAAACTTTAGCGAAAGTGCCGAAGCGAAAAGGCGTTCAAGTTGAAACAGGGTAATGAGCGGCGGGCGGTGGGGCGGACAGCGAAGTAAATTAGCTAAAAATTTTACTTTACTTAGTCGGCAACGAAGGAAGTAAGGATAAAGATGGATGTCTAGATTTGCGACGTGCGCACACAGGGCGGATGGATAAGCGTGGCGCTAAAAAGGGCAGCAAAAGTGAAGGCTTGTCCGTCCATTGTCCGTTTGTCCGTCGTCCATCGTCCGGATGGGCAATCTGCCTGGACGGAGGAGCAATCCAACCTGCCCTGCCCCTCTCCCAATCCGGTATTTACGTTCGGCTCGCCGGCACGCGGGTGCGTCATCAGGTGAAGTGCTAAAGTTTTCTGGCGGACTTTTGGCGTAGGATCTCAAAAGTGAAGTCAAGGTGCAGGAGAAGAAGCAGGCAGGGAATGCCAGAACGAAACGGGCTGTAGTAATGAAGATAACATTTCCTGTTGTCAGCATTTGCTAAGTTGGACAAAGCCAACCCTCGAATTCCTCGTTTCAAAATATTGCCAAGCGGTTAAGATGTAATACTTTTTCCATGGCATAAAAATATACTCCTAATTAGCTTGATTTTTCTCCGATTTTAATTACCTCCATTAATAACTAATATCTGATAAAAGCTCATGAGCTCGTACGTCTTCATTAGGCCAAGGCTATCACAATTAACGGCTACCAACTATTTCAGCTTGGTTGGCTGGTTCAACTGTGATTGGACTGCTCTTTGCAGGGAAGTCGCGAAGTCGCAAAGTCCCAAAGTCGGGGCAAAACAATTTGCAGCCGTAAATTGTTAACGCCAACTCAACGTACATATCTGCGTGGCAAGCGGGTCCCGAGTAAATTATTTATCACGATGGACAGTCGGCACAACAGGTCCTCTCTCCCCAGTCCTTATCCTGGTTTTGGTCCATTCCGGCTTCGTGGCTGTTCGGAATCCGACACTTGTCTTTGTTCCGACTTTATGTAGTTTTGCCGGAGTTTTGTCCGTTTTGCCCGTTTGTCCGTTCCCTGGAATTGGCTTTTAATTTGTGCTTCAGCATACTACCTCTGTCCTCTGTCTCTGCCCACGGTTAATAGATGTGACTCCGTGGTCCGTTGGCCAGTTGCCTGTTGCCTGTTGCTGCTGCTGGGTTCTTTAGTATCTCCGCCGGGCGACGCCTTCGATGGGGGCATCCCGCGAGGAGTGTAGTGAATAGAATGTGCTGTGGCTGCTTAAAGCCAAGTCATTTACACTGCAATTAATCATGATTACGCGAGTGTGCGCGCACTCGTTCTACTCATTCCACCGCCCTCTAGTTCAAATATAGTATAGTCCTCATCAAAAGGGTATTCGAATGTGGGTAGCTGGAAGCGGTTTTTTCCCCTATTTCGTCGCTTTAATCGCAGACGTTTCCTGCGCTCACTGATTCACTTAGCCGCTCTTCCATTTTCCTTCTCCGTTTTTTACTGGCGTTGTCTGCATTCACGTTGTAAATGATTGTCGGGTGCGTTTATTTACTTAACTATCATTTTACAACATTTTGGTCCATATTAGTCCACGAACTAGCGGTTCAGCTTTTTGCTTACGAACTCAGCTTTGTCTCTATTCCGGAACTCAAGAAAAGTATTGGTTTTGTTTGAACAGTTATTTAGATTTATTTAGATACTTTTGAGACAAGATGTAGCCAGCACACCTGCGTACTAAGTTTTATTTTCTTACGCCTGATTTACATAACTAAATTCACTACGCATATTTCAGAAATCCTTGCTTGATATGTTGTGTACAACAATTTCGTTCCTCCAATTTTGGACTATGCAAATGGATTTCTTTCTTAAATTTAAAGATATATATTATATTTAAATAATTTTATAATCTTTTGTATGATCTAGAAGCGATCGATCTTTAAGTAACTTTACAACCTAGTTGTCCAATATGTTTTTGTCACACTAAGAGCGTTCCCTTTCGGGATGATAGACTTCTAACCCCTGTAGGCTAGTCCCAAGGAATCCGGCACGTATGTACGTTAGCCATATAAGTACCATATGCCTGTACGTTCTACATGCCATATGGGCTTTCTTATGGGACGACACTTGAAGCTTTTCCAGCTCCTACTACCGTTAGTGCGTGTTGGCCCAGCAGGGCCTAATTAGATTACATGCAAATTAAATGCAGCACGTATGTGCACACTATGTACATACTGCCGTGGATATGTATAGACGTGTATTTGAGCTTATGTACTTACAATGTGCAATTTTTGACACTTGTGATTGTTTATTTACCTGCTTGAAGGATGGTTACTTGCTGCCTTCTTCGTACTGCCGATGAAAATCGATCACTGCACACAAAAAAACACAACAACAAAATTTCAAAACAATTTCCAATATTGCAAAATCAGGATATGAGTTGCGTGAAACCCAGCCAAGGTTAGGCTAGGGCAGTTGTGTAACCCCACATGGAGGGCCTATAACTTGTTGTTCGCTATGTGTGGTACGGTATGTGCATGGAGCTCCAAGGAAGCACACTAAACTGCCTTGGGACGCGGCAGTTGCACGACTGAATCTGAATCAGAAACTTTGCACGTTGCAACGTAGACACGTAGACACGCAGACTCGTCCTCGTCGCCCGATTCGCGCGATTGCGATTCTCGTTGCCAATTTCGGATGCTATATATATTGGCGTGGACGAGCGCCTGTCCTGGTCTGGTCTGGTCTGGTCCTGGCCATTCGATGGGCCTGCAAATCGCGCAACAGGCAGCAGAATCCGCCCCCTGCGCCACCGAGGGAGCTCCGAGATGCCGTGATGCCGAGATGCATTAGTGTGTGCGATGGGGGTGGTGTTTGTGTTTTTGCAGCCAAGTGTGTGAATAAAAACAAAAGCTTGAATGAAAAGTTGCGGAAAAAAACGAAGACAGCAACAGTAAACACGAAACGACACACCCAAGGAGAAGAAGAGCCAGAGAGAAGGATATAAACGGAAAATCCGTAGACGCGTAGGGCTGAGAAATGTATATTATCCCAGCAGTTGAGCAATTAACAAAGGTATAGGAACAGCAATGGGTATATGGCTGCTAGGCATAAATCAGTGCTGGCAGGGCTTTAAGCGTTCCCTTCGTTCAGGTGGAAAAAGAAGTGAGCTCGAAGTGAGGCTCTGGAACACTGGAACACCAACACCCATGGCCCATCGCCCATCACCCATCGCACACCACCACGGGCCATTCTGCCGTCGTCATTCTGCAGTTTGCAGTCTGCGGTGGCGCATTTGCACCACACACAATGCAGGTGGTGTGGTCAGTGTCGTCAGCCTGTTGCTGCGCGTTATCAAATGCAGGAGCCGTATGCAACAGGCAGGATGGATACCCATACATGCGCAGGATTCCATTCCCATTCTCTGCCACTGCAGGCCGCACCCACACAGCGACCCTGACTTCGTCGTCCTGTTGCCCGTTGCTGCATACAGATGTACACCCATGGCTATACTCGCCCGCTTCCGCAACAGGCAATAGGAGTCCTCGCCAGTAGCAGGGAAATGCGCTTCCTAATGCAAATGAACGAACGGATGCATCTTCCAGTGCACACATGCAATTTCGTGGAGGATATGGTGGATGCCTTTCCAGGATGGCTAAGCTGCACCTGTGACTCCGCCGTGCAAGAGGATAATCCGCCTACCGTTCCCGTGCCGTATTTACCTTACAGGGTCGAGGGCCTAGATTTGTGGTTCAGCTCCTCCTCGTAAGACTGTCGCCTCCGGGCGGTCGGTCGGTCGGTCGGTCGGTCGGTTCCCCATCTGCCGGAGAGTCGGAGTCTGGCTGAGTTTACACAGCTTTAACCAGCGGAGCATAGCACTGTGACAAACTGATTATTGCGTCCAGGCCCGTTGGCAGTCGGGTGGAGTTCCCTGCTGCCTGCTGCCTGTTGCCCGTTGCAGCCTGTTGCTGCAGCCCCTGTTGCTATCCGGCTGGCTCACCACCACCATTGCGCCAGCTCACCCACACACCGGCAGAGCCACGCACACTAGCAGAACCCGCTTACGCACACAGGCACACTGGCCTGCCTAAGCTCTCAACTGTTGCTCCTCGCTCTCTAGCAACAGGTACTCGGAGTCGGCAGTCGCAAGGAACCAGGAGCCAGGAG